ACATCAGACAAATCAACAATGGGGAAGTTGTAGCTGACTGACTGACTGAAAATGGGAAAGCGGCACCAACTGACAATATACCATTTGAAGGACTGGAGTCACACATAGAAGTAACTGCAAACATGCTCCACTCTCTATTCAGGAGCATTTGGGAGGAAACGTAAGTGCCAACGGACTAAAAAGAAAATCTCATCAAGATATCACAGAAAGGAGACATCAGAAAATATGTGAAATACTGAGTAATCACACTACAATCGGTATCGGGATAAGTTCTCAACAGTGTCGCTGAACTGAATGGAAAATTCAGTAGACGCTCAACTTTGAGTTCAACAGGTTGGATTCCGTGAGGATTGATAGTGCACAGAACACATCACGAGACTACTTATCATTGTTGATCAATCAATTGAATGGAACTCGTCACTATACATCAAGTTCATTGACTATGAGAAATCATTTGAAGGTGTGGAGGCCCGTTATTTAATCGTCATTTAGATCGGACGACGTCGTGGAAAGGGCTCTTCACTTTAGTGGCCCGAGATCTGACTCCAATTAGATCGTATGAATGTTTGTTATCGCCTATCCTGGTATATAAACATAGACTTAAATCGCGTAAGTCAATAGCGGATTTAATAAGTTAAATAACGAAAATGAACTTTTAAATACATATATTTTGTATATAAAGTGAATGGAGTAGAACGAAGCAAAACGATGCGCAGTGGAAATGGTAAGCCAAATCCCATTTAACCAAGCGTTAATCAATAATTATAGTTACACAAAAGTAAGTTACAGACATGTGATGAGTAATGGAATAAGAACTGTACACACACCTACCGCGCTCAGAATGTTACTCAAGTAGAATGAGTAGAATAGGCTGTCCGAAAGCTAGAATAAGGTATATGGGTTTAACATAATAACCGACATTACAAAAGTGTGGGTAGGAGAACCATATTAACCGTCTTCAACATTATAGATTGAGTAGCTGAGAAGATCATCAACGTCATATGGAATTCATACAATGCACTACAATTCAAGTTCGTGTATGAACGACAGCTGAAATATGCATTCCATGTGTGAACCGGAGTCATACGAGGCTGCTTATTCTCATCTTTTCTATTCCTCCTGATGGTCGGCTGGATTACGAAGACCTCGACATGTGAGGGAAAGCATGAAATACGGTGAAATACGTGGATGTAATCGAACGAATTCGACCTCACAGATGACCTAGCTCTTCTATCCCATGGATGCTAACAAATGCAGATAAAGACAACCGATGTAGCAACAGCCTTCACATCAGTAGGCCTCAACATACACAAGAGAAAAATCAACATCCTTAAACACAACACGGAGAACACCAACACAATCGACTTGATGGAAAAACTCTGGAACAGTTAGAAACTTTCTGTACATGACGTGGTCTGCAACATTGATGAACAAGGAGGACCTGATGCAAATGTAAGGCCAGGGATTGACAAAGCATGTGTAGAACTCCTACAAATGAGGAACACATGAAACTCAAAACAACTGACAGTCAATATCAAAGTCATAATCTTCAACGTCGAGACAGTTCTACCGTACCAAGCTGAAACTTGAACAACTACTGCAGTCATCATCAAAAAGGCACAGGTATTTATAAACAATCGTCTACACAAAATACTCAATGTCCTTTGGTCGGACACTATCACCGACAGCATTCTGTGGGAGAAAACAAACCAACTTCCTTATGGAAAGGAAATCAGAAAAGGATTCTGAAAGTAGATAGAACAAACACAATGGAAGTCACCATACTGCATCACGAAGCAAGTGCCCACATTCATTCTTTAATGGAAACGGAAATGATGAAGACTAAGGAAAATGCTGCATTGAGAATTCAAAGCAGACATGAAAAGAATAAATATCAACTTGAAACAAGTGGAAAGGATTGTTCAGGATAGAGTTGCATGGAGAATGTTGGTGTATGGCCTATGCTCTTCCACGAGGTTTAACAAGCATAAGTAGGTAAATAATTGTTAATTAAGCCTGATGTTCATTTAATGAAAATAGAGAGGAGTCAAATAATTATGATAAATAATCTTTCGGAATTAAATATTCGGCTAGATCAATGATAAAACGAGGGATTGAACAAACCACTTCTAAGCACAGAGATAAACTTTGAATCTATCGATTTCCATTGTTAGCACTATAAATAAATGTAATCCCCAACTTCATTTCAGTTTATTTCCGTTTTTGGATGATTTTGAATGGAAATTGACTTCAGTACTATCGACTACTCTGCATTCACCTTGAGATAACCAGGCGTGATAATGTTCGTATATGTATTTGGAAAGAACACTTTTGTGGACCAAATAATACAAATAACATTGTAAGACTGTTTCATGGAATGAGTTATTCGCTAAATGGACTTGTATTTATTGAAGTGCATCTAATCATTCCGTTTATATTAGAGGATAGCTATGAAGGTTGAATAGCTTTACTGAAGTGGCCATTAAATGATTTATCATATTATTATATTTAAATGATGGAGTCTTGGTAATGCATATGTAACATCTAATATGTTTACGATTCGATTTTACATTTCTCCTGTTAGACATAAACTTGATAAAGATACATAACTGTATAAAAAGACCTACATGTTTCAAGAAAAGTCACAAGAGAAGTTAAAATAATTTCATTCAATCGGTTTCTTTAATGAATTCGAATAAAGCCTGAACAATTGATGCAGAATAATATGAATGCATTATATCTCATATATCTCATCATCTGCAGTGTTGTATTGTTTAGAGCCATTGCACCTCTTAGTCTTCATTTCTTTGGAACGTACTTGGAAATGTGAACATGTACTCTACTCTCTGTTCTTCCAATGTATATGGTTGGCATGTACATGTAAATTGGTAAATGCAATTGGAGGTGCTGAAAAAAGAGAACCTATCAATTTTTATTTATTTGGTTGAGTAGTCTTATTGATGGATAAACAAACTACAACACGGCATTTGTCCTATGGCTAATTATTCCAGTGATTTCATCTCTTCTAAAGTACAACTATAGAAAGCAGGTTTTGTTAGCCATTGTATCGTATTTAACCTGTAGGTTGGTTTTAGCATACTTTTATATGAATTTCTCCGGTTATGTATTTTCATGTAGACAATTTATAATGAAGGCAATTTGTTCTTCAAAGCTTTCCTTCGAATAAAGTTTACAACTGCGGTCAAAATGGTTAAAAAGATGTTGAAAGCCTAATGAAGTATCCCTGAGATAAAAAGAATTAAGGTTATGCTTATCCCCATAAAAGTAATAAAAATAACGTTTCAAATAATTATATGAATATAATATAGAAATAATCGAATCTGTAGATGACAACTATCAGGTAACTGAGAAATATTCCAATAACTTTGAATGATATCAGATTGAAACTGTTGTTTTCTTACACGTCTTTACAAAATCTTAAAATTTTGTGAAGCATCACTATGATAATTCACTTTATTCCCTTGTAATATTAGTTAATATAGACAATGGTCAATAAATTCCCAATAAACATCTCATAGTGTAGTTAAATAAACGCTTATGTCAAATTGTAATCGATTTAATTTAAAGCTTATCAAAGTCAACATTAGATGAAAACAAAAAGAATGGATTTCAGTTCCAACCTCTTACTTTATCTTTATTAGATTATCAAAACTGATCCGAAATCGGAATCCTTTGATTTTAAAAAAAATTGTGATTTCAGAATAAGCAAATCTATTCTTACTTACTTATTTACGCTTGTTAACCCTCGTGGAGGAGTATAGTCCATCTACAAGCATTTTCCATCCAATTCTGTTCTGAACAATCCATTCCATTTGATAGTCATCATTTTGATGTCTGCTTCAAAATCTCGACGTAGTGTATTCTTTGATCTTCCATTCACTTAAACTATTTTAACTATTATTATGCCCAAAAATTCTTAACCATCACTATTTCTAGATTGAAGCCGGTCTACACATGTTCAAAAACTGATGCACAGTTCATCAGTTAGTATATCTGGTATATGGCTAATAACGAGATCTGGAACGCTAATTTCGTTCTATATGGTCATTCGGAATCCTTAAATCTTAAACACTGACACATAACTTCATACCATTTTGAGCACATTAGTGACTATAGGGGCTCAGCAGTTTGTCTGATAACGCGTTTGGGTATAAAAAAGGTTGGTATCGGGTTCGATTCTAAAAATAAACATCAATCTTGCCATGTGATTTCATTCAGCTGATAAGTTTCAACCACAATAAAATAAACATCCTGCAACCTACTACCAGCAACGAACTAATAACTGAAAGCAATATTTTTGGTGATTCAATCAGGATAAATATATGTCCATAAACTCTGATCAGTTAAAGCTTTTCTAATAAAATGAATTAATGTTTGTTCATAAGTGTACGGATAATCTACTTAGCGCCTGTAAGAACTTCTCTATCTCGTACATATGATTTCCTCCATTAAATAATCTCCTAACAACCACGTGTAATAAGTTTTAATAGACCTATCATTTTGTATCTTTTTACATTATCTGTATTTCTTTTGGTTGATTGTGGTATCATACTGAATGAAATATATTTTTCTTATGTTCCAAATGTGTTGTTATATCAAGAGTTTAGATGCCTAATATACGGCGTACAACTTGAGCACTCGAACGCTAGAACCTTTCCAAGTCGTAAACGAGAAGACAGAAGACAAGTGAAATGAATGTTATTCTAAAACAGTGTCAATTATGGTACAAAACTGTCAAGAATTTATAGTTTTTAGTAAAAACGAAATCACCACTATAGTCCTTCAATCCGCATACAGGGAAGCTACATGTAGGAATTCTGAAATATTCTTCCAAAAGATGATTGGGTGGAATATCTTCAACTCTTTCTGAGCTTCTTAGAGCTTCATCGAGTTCACTGGTTGGGCCATCCTTACATGTGTTTCACAGATTCTTACCAAACTACTCATTCTGTTTACATTTTATACGTCGTTTAATTTAGTTGCGTTTTTCTTTTGCCAAAACAATCAATGTTTATAATAATAATAATAATAATAATAATAATAATAATAATAATAATAATAATAATAATAATAATAATAATAATAATAATAATAAATGTACATAACAATTTACAATATCATTGTTCATCTTTATATTTACACAAAGTAGTGTTGATTACAAGGAGTACAAACTCTACAAAATTTAACACAAATAATAACTCACATCTCTTTTAACAAGACTATTCAATATCAAATAGGATTTATTTAAGTAGAGGTAATATTAAATGAATATAAACAGAATGCGCTTATGTCAACAGGAGACTGATCAATCGCAGTTCTAAATAACAATGAGAAGATATAACTTATACAACACCAAGTGAATTTAAACTTCTCCCTATAGTACAAGCAGGTAGCTATCAAGACTCAGTAGCTAAGTGAAGCGAACGATACTGGGTTCGAGTCCTGAAGTGAACAACAACTTTGAGATTCAGGTACATCCAACTTACGGGTCCCAAATAGGATGAAACGCGTGTCAAACTAGATTCCCCTGCTAACCACTATCCATCTTCGTTTTATAATCCTTGTAACTTAAGACAATATCGAGACAATTCAGAGGAGGATGTACATATTATCAATAAGAGACTGATCATAGAGAAGATACAAATTAAACAACATCAAGGGATAATCTTATATCAATAGCTGATTATCATTTTCAACAGTTGAGATCATGAGTCATTTGAAGCTAGACCACCATGGAAAACCTGGAAGCAATGGACGGCCGTTTAGTCCTATTGTGAGAATCCTCAGCAGTGCGCATGTACAACCCCGCCTCACTAGATTCGAACCCAAGAACTATCAGTCTCGCGCCAGGCACTTAACCAACTAGACCACTGAGCCGGTATCCAACGGTGTTACTGTCTAACTTCAACTAATCCACAAAATTGAGCGACACATCCACCACTGTCATCGGTGAGTTACTACCTCACAAATGACTCGGTTGAACTGCACTGGTCACTGCTTCTCACTAGAACTCCAGGATATATACCTTGAAGCCAGTCACTAGTGAGCATATGTTGATTAATATCAGAATGGGTTTTGTGGAGATTTTCATTTTACCAAAACTTTTAAATCATCATTTAAAACAAGAATAATAAACTGTAATAATAATAATAATAATAATAATAATAATAATAATAACATTATCACCAATATAAATAGAATACATTATTAGGTCAATTAAAAATTTGGCGAAGTATATTAAAAAAAATTTTTTTTGGCGGTAATTCAATTTCATTCAATTTTTGACCTTAAATAAATTTGGCAAATTTTCAGGTTTCTTATACGTAATCATTAGTATTATACATTGAAATTGTGAACATAATTTTTTTTTCAAGTTTATTTTACCATTGAATAAATTGTTTTAATTAATCATATAAAAATTAGGTAACATATTTAAATAAATAAATAAACAGATATGAATTAAGTTTACAAAGTGTGTTAGAGAGAGAGGGAGTGAAGGAGTGAATGAGGGAAGGAGTAAGTGAGTGAGTGAGAGAAAACTAAATTCAGTAATATAAGTAGTAAATACAATAACACTTATCTAAACATACTTTAAAGTAATGTAAATAGATTAATATGAATTATTGAATGAAAATTTAAATGGATTATAATGTCTATTAAATAGTGAAATTTCAGTTATTTAATTAGTGATAAAAAAAAAGAATAACATCTCTGCAAATGCTATCATATAGCCAAGTGTATACAGGCATTACCAGGGAAATGCTACTCATTAACTTCTCGTGACTATGGTGTTGTTTATGAAATTGAGAGGGTGAAAAGTGAATGTCTGTGGCTTTAACAGGATTGGTGGACATGTATACTTTATCTAGGGGAGTTGGAAAACTCTGATTTCAAACTAATAATCTACAAGAGCTCCAGGATTCTAAGGGAATAAATGGCAGATGTACCATGGGACTGCATCTCCAGACGTTGTGCCACTGCCTTGTGGAGCTCCGGGTGTGCCTCCATAAGAAAACCACCTCCTTCAATTTAGGCATCTGAGTAGTAATACAGCCCATACACTAGTTAAATGACTTGTATAGAGCATATGTATTCTTTGCCTCTTTCTACCAATATTTATGTGTTCAAATAAATAAATAAATCATTGAAACTTATAAAAAGATAAATTATAGATGAAACATTTAAGAGATTCATCAGTAAAGGCAATTAACATTTTAAAACCATATCCATATACTTCATTTTAGTAAAGTTTCATTTTCTGAGCTGTGAGGACAAATTCCACTAAAATCATACATCTAATGGATAAATCTAAACCATCTCATACACCTTATGCTTAAAATTCGTACTTCACATATGAAAAGTATTACTAAGTTATGATGTACAGCAAAGTCGAAATTAGATGGGTTTTCAGGTTCTTACTAGAACTAAGATGATAAAGATTGATGAATACATAGTTACTTTTTTTCATTATCATGATGTCTTACTTAATGAGTTTATCAGAATAGAAGCGATCAAAGTTCAATCGATTAACATTCTCCCTACTTAAAACGAATGTAAATGAAGACGTAGGCAGCACTGTAATTGCCTATAATTTGAATTTAATCAAACTAAAACTTAATTTTAAATACGTTCATGATTACCGCTTTATTAATTTGCAACTTCCAGTGGAGGTAACCCATGTTAGGTAGAGACGGGTATCTACCTCAGTACAATGGGAGATGGTCTCGTAATTTCGTGAATTAATTGAGGTTAGGCGTTGACACTGCTAAACGCTGGGTCAATAGCCTAGAGATTAAGCGTTCGCGCGCGAGACTTGAGGGCCTAGGTTCGGATCCCGCGAGCAGGTTTGCGGACGTGCACTGTTGAGGAGTTTCACAATAGAATGAAACAGCCGTTCAGTTCTACGTTTTCAATGATCGTATAACATCAATCGGTTCATGATCTTAATCAAAACTTAGTAACTCCCACAACCACATACTGATAATTACATTTTTAGCAAAGTTATTAGCTATTTTTTCATGGTATAATTCAATTTTTAAAAATATATTCTAGATCCTACTGTAGTGAACAAGAACATAAGCGGGGCAATCGAACGTATTTCAACAAAAAAATTGCAGAACATCTTAGTAAAATCTGAGAACCACACAGTAAATTCTTCATTTGCATAATGTTCATTTATTGGTCAATCGTTTCAGACCTCATTGTTCTTTCATTTCCACACCAATCATTCTTTGCTGTCGTCTTTTCTTTGATCTTATTAACCTTCTGCCTCTAGACATTTCACTTTCAATTGATGATACATACTACTTATGTCTGTCGACATTAGTAGCATACACTACACTATTGAGTAATTTATGTATTACCTTAAAATGTTTTACATGATATATATTCTAATATTGTTTCAACAAATCTTGCCTATATTTCTAACATCTATGGTTAGTTTTTTGTTTCTAAACTGTTATAATGATAAGAAGAAAATTATTAAAATTGTGGACTTTTGTGAACACTGACTACTAATATGTAGAACTTCTATAGAGTCGATTGATATGTTAAGCCTGCATGACATATTCTACCTTCTGGACAGGCCAATTTAACTGTTCTTCTTGAGTCACGTTGTTAGTTATTGACTTATCAATCTTGACTGTTTTTATATCAGCGTATATATGTGTACAGTTCTTATCCTATCCATCACATGTCTATAGCTTAATTTTGTGTGACTATGAATGTTGAGTTGGTCCACAAGCCTTCTTTACTGCGCGCCATTTCGCTTCGCTCTTTTGTATTCGCTCCACCCACCTGACCTGATATATATATATATATATATATATATATATATATATATATATATATAAAATCTAACAATCATATAGTAAATGCTTAATTTGCAAAATGTCCATCAATTGTCTCAAAATGACTCAGACTTCATTGTTCTTGCATTTTCATACAAATTGCATTTTGTTTCCATTCTCTACTATTCGATCCTCTTGTCTCTCTGCTGCCAGACCTTCTGTTCATGACTAACATGATATACTACTTATGTCAATATAAGTAGTACACATCTGAAAGTCAGACCCCGGGCTACTAAACTCCTTATATCTCTAGTTGTCAAGTCAATACACTAGAACTTAGCTAATGAAATCAAACTCTGAATATGCATAAAACTTCTATTAAATTTATGAACATTTAACCTGAATCTAGGAGATAAGATTAGTCAACTGAACTACCTATTAATTCACATTCTATATAATATATTAACTTCTAAAGACTGAAAACTAGTTCATAAAACATTAAGTCACATAAGTCTGCTTATTTCAATTTTTGTATTAGACCATGAGTGGTTTGTTTGTTCTTGTTTCAGTATTACAGCTGTTCGTTTTATCATAAATAAATAGTCATTTGATATCTAATATCTTGTTGGAATGATTAAGTTTATACATCATTTAACAAATAAGTAGGTTACATGGAATAATTTCTACTTTTATTCAACAGATGTACTTTTTTTTTGGTCGAACCTTAACAAACTTTCACAAATTTCTGTTTAATCTATTGAATCACTATGTAAATGTTATAAATAGTTTCATATGATAGAATATTTAGATGAATGTCCTATAAATGGAACAAAATACGTTGTCGACCCATGTGTTTGTCGCCATGGTTTTATTTAGTTTTTCAATGACAAACAAAAATTGTTTTTACTAAAATAATTTTTAAAAGCAAATTTACATAAGACAAAGTGAATTGAATGTTGTTTTTCTTCTTTTTGTTGTTGTTGTTGTAGTTGTTGAAATAATGTAAATTGTCTGAAATATCAGATTATGTAATGGCTTTATTCAATATTACAGGTTTTGGTATAATATAGAAATCTCAGTACAAAAGTATTTCAACAAGTTTCCGTTGTTTTTTTTTCACTTCTTGATAGATCCTGACGATAACATATTAAGTGATCGCCAGTTAGATGTTAGCAAACCAGTCAATCGATATCTAAATAATGTACATTCTTTACGTTGCGTATTATCAGCAATCACAATATCTTTGATTTGGCTTATTTTGTAACTTGTATAGTCAAAGGTTGTAAACATTTTAGAAACGTACAAAATTACAGAACTTATTGAAATATCTAGATGGCAGGAACAGGTAACCCAGTTGTTCAAGAGGGCCGCCATCCTTAATTTTAAAAATATATAACAAAAGTTTAATGATATTGTAGTGATCGAGAACACAAGTGCGGATTAATCGAACGCATCTCAACATAAATTTAGGGGATTTCTTAATAAAATCTGACAGCCATACAGTAAACATTTCATTGACAAAATGTCAATCATTTATCTCAGACTTCATTGTTCTCTTTCTCCTTTCATTGATCTTCTCAACCTTCTGCTGCCAGGCATTTCACTTTCGTCTGATGATACATACTGCTTTTCAGAAGGGGGTTTGTGGAGATTTCACAGGTTGAAATCATGAGTCGATTGAATCTAGACCACCATGGAAAACCTGGAAGCACTGGACGGCCGTTTCGTCCTAGTATGAGACTCCTCAGAACTGCTCATCCACGATCCCACCTCACCAGATTCAAACCCAGGACCTATCGTCTCGCGTGAGAACGCCTAACCGGTGTACCACCTAGTCGACATCTAATGGTGTCAATGTCTAACTTCAAACAATCCACGAAACTGGGTCACCGTCCGCCATTGTCTTCAGTTAGTTACTATCTCACAGGAGACCCAGTTGAACTCAACTGGTCATTGCTTCTCACTAGAACTCCAGGAAATACCACTTGAAGACAGTCACTACTCAGCATATATTGTATAAATTTTAGAACTCATAAATGAAAGACTGAATTCCATAGGGTAACATTTAAAGTTTTTGTATGTTTTTGCATAGATTTTCAACAGGAATTTATGTTTACTCAAAGGAATACCAATAACTGTACAAGAGCGAAAAAAATTCTCATCAGTATAAATCAATCCTCTGGTTAGCGTTTTTTAGCGATTTAGTTTACTACGAGAGAATACTGGTCGGTAGCGTATGCATCATTGGGAGCAACAAGCATAAGTAAGTAGGTAAGTAACAAAACAATTCTGTTCCTAACGAAATATATAAGTACATAGACACTTCATATACGCATTTTATTTCCAGCTCTTTGGATAAAAAAAAACGAGGTGAAAAAGGTAAGTTATTTCTGTAATTACAGGTGGTCTGATCCAAGATCGTTTCTCAATATACCCATACTTAATGTGGATAAATGTTTTCTGTGTGAAAACTACGATTACCTTATGTAAAATATTAGAGATTAGTCAATAAAGTGGGATACATGTTCATTGTATACAACACTTTACATACTTCATAAAATTAGTTCATCTTACGAATTTCAATAAAAATCAAATCAAAAACCGATTGATGTTAAACCACCATGGGAAACCTGGCAACATTTGACGGACGTTCCGTCCCATTGTAGGACTCCTCAGCAGTGCGCATCCACGTCCAGTGCTTTCAGGTCTTCAATGGTGGTCTAACATCAATCGGTTCTTGATCTCAATCAATAATATAATAATCTCCATGACCCTATACTGATAAAACTAAAATGATAATTAATGCACAATAATATTAATTCTATTGGTGTTTTGTGGTTTCTTTCCAGCTGTTTAAGATTCCATTCATACTGATATATGACATTATATCAATAATAATTCAGTTGACATTCATCCTTTTCATGTCTGATTTCAAGTCCCGACGCAGTGTTCCTTGGTCTTCATCATTTCTGTTTCCATTCACGATTTAAAGATAGCATCTACTTCGTGATGCAGTCTGGTGGTTTCTGTAATGTATGTCGTATCCACCTTGATAGTCTTTTCCTGACTTCCTCTTCAGTTGGAAGTAGGTTAGTTCTCTCCCACAGTAGGCTGTTGTTCATGGAATCTGGCGAACGTATATCCGGTATCTTCCGTGTAGACAATTGTTTATAAATACTTGTAGATGTTTGATGATGGTTGTGATAGTTGCTCAAGTCTCAGCTCCGTACAGTAGAAATGTCTTGACGTTCATATTGGTGCCAGTTGACAGTTGTTGTGAGTTCCATATGTTCCTCAACTGTAGGAATGCTGTCCTTGCTTTACCAATTCGTGCTTTAACATCTGAATCAGATATTTCATGTTTACCAGTGATGCTGTCCATGTACGTAAACGTTTTCAACTCTTCCAAAGCTATTCCATCAAGTGTAATCTGGTTGTTGCTCTTCGTGTTGTATTTTAAAATATTGTCTTATCTCCTGTGAATATTGAGGCTCTTGCTTTTTCCCTTAAATATAATGAAGCCTTCTGATTCAGAAGCTGCTGATACGCCTTCACGGTCTACCTTCATATATACCCAAACAACTTGGAGCTAGAGGATTCGATCTAGCTCTTACACCGTATACACATACATATCCGTGCTTCCCCTGAAATACGGTTTTTATAATTCAGTCAACCTACAGAAGAAAGAGAATGGGCGAAAATAAGGAAACTGGTCTATCACCGGTCCACACTCAGAATTAGCCTGTCAGTTGTTCTCTATGCACGATTTTGCAGTGTAGTCCATCGAATGAATTTTGGATGATATTGACGATATTCGCAGCTACTTGATCCATAGTGTCAAAGATGGTTCCATAAGGTTCTCTTATCGACGCCATCAAATGATTTTTCATAGTTAATGAAGTTGGTATATAGTGAGGAGTTCCATTCAACTGATTGCCCAACAATGATCTGTAGTGTTGCGATTTGGTCTGTGCACAGACCGCTCAAGATTGTAATAATTTATTCAGTGACAGTAAATATTAAATGTTGTACTCATCTGATGAGTCCAAGGCAGACTACGTAGCATGAAATCCCGTAGAAAACTAACTCGCTAAAAAAACGCTAACCAGAAAAAATAATTCAAACCATTTAAACTCTGCCCTGGGAATTAGAAAGTCCTCATTTTGAAGAATTATGACGCCTCATGATGAAAGCCGAGTCCCTTTGGAAGTCACGAGGCTGATGCCCTTTTTGACAACCAGGGCAACCATTAATTTATGTACATGGAGTGCTCGTACAATGTGGGAGACCGTGAGAGTCAGTTAAATTGTTACAGAAATGAGGAGATACAACGTGGAGTTGCTTGGAATCAGTGAAACACATTGAACGCATGTTGGACTACAAAGACTAGCTTCAGGAGAGCTTCTGTTATACTCCGGCCATGAAGAAGAAAATGCTTTTTAAATTACTCCAAGTTATTTGTTTCTGTTTACCACACAATCACTATCGACCAAGTGTGACAGAATGGAGCTGTGTATTGTTTTGAACATACCCATTCCAGATGACGAAGGTGGGTGGTGCTCATCAACTCTTTGGCTCATTTCTTTAGTTGTACTCCAAATACATTTTTATCCACAAGAATTTATGAATTCGTAGATATACATGGATGTCATAGAACGAGGAAGCGTATCCGTTAATTGAGGAATCAGCAACTGTCGAACGGAAACATAACTGATAAAGTTTCAAATAAAAGATTAACTTCATTACTTTAGTCACTCTATCCTGTAGTACAACATTGACTATATCCCTCTTGAACAGTTGCTTCCGAAACACAGATTACATCAAGTTGTTATTTGCAAATGATCACAATTGAATTCTAAACTCCATTAAAAGTAGCATTCTCTAAATTCTTTCATTCTTATAACCGTAAAATCATCAAAACATGACAGAATTCGTTAACCAGTGATATACGTTAAATGCTTTGGCATAAGTTTCGTAATTCCCATATAGTAGTAGTATAAATTCACTTGGTGTTGTTTTACTTGCATCTTCTCATTGGTGTTTTAGGACTACAATTGATTAGTCTCATGTTGGCATATGTGCATCCTAAGGAGATTGCCTCGATATAGCCTTCAGTAGTAGTATAGTTTGATTTAATATAAGAGAATTATTCATCTTTATATCATCGATTTAAAATATTTAAAAAAAATTTTTGTTTTACAAAATTCAATAATTCCAGGTCATTGAATACAAAAACCGGTTTATAAATGAATGTCTCGAAATGCCTTATAACTCAGAATAATTATAATAACACAAATTTATTTGTATATATCCACAATTCAGTTGATTGGCTAAATGATATAGAGCGGGAGGGGGAGGTACCATAGATACCATAGACAGATGAATAGTTATAATTGTCTCTCTCTTTCTCTCTCTCTCTCTCTGTATCTCTCAGAACATCCCATATGTGCATAGTTACATTGAGATAAAACTATGCATAATCGAAATGTTAAATTTTATTTATGTGATTAGCTGACAACCAAAAATTAAAAAAAAAAGAACTAAAAACAGGATTACAACAAAATTCATGGATAAGTTAATACATTTTAATTGAACCAATGAAATTGTGTTCATTTCGGTAAACTTTATTTACAATATTACTAATAATAATAATATTAACATTTAAAATAGTATATAAAGTGTAAATTTTGTCATGTTAAGGTTTATTAACCATTCATAATTGAATCACAATATAAAGAATAATGCAATTATTATTTATATATACGATTCTATTATTATGGTTTATACATATTACTCAACAAGTAACTATTAATCGTAAATTATATCCACAACAAATACAATTTTCATCCATACCTGAACAATTTATTGAAGAAACTGAAAGTGTACAAGACATAAAAGAAGGTGAACACGAAACAACACATCGTTCTAAACGTTTAATAGATAATCAACAATTATCAACAACATATCGTAATCCATTTGCATCATTATTAAAACGTAAACGACATTCTAAATCAACTGATTCACGTTTATCTATAAGAAAAGATTTTATCAATAATAATGATTCAAAATGTGGTCTAATGTGTCATTTATTATGTCGTCCCGGTTGTTCTAAAATTTGTTATTCATCTTGTACTTAAAACATTGTAATAATACTAATAATAATACTAGTCATTTCCATATTGTTTTTATTTTCCTTTTCTTTTCGTTTCTTTTCTTTTCTTTTTTTGCTTATTATAATTGTATACATAATAGTAAATAAGTTTCTAGTCATTTATTTCAATAACTTTTATTATAATCTTCTACATGATAATGATACATTTAACTCTATTTCATTATAATAATAATGATCATATTGACAGACAATTCTTGTTACTATGTGTTCTGGGCATCTTTGTCATTTCTATTCATAGTTACAATAATGATGATAGTAACAATTTCATTCTTCTTATTATTATTATCATCATTATTATTCATTTAATGTCAATCGACATTAAAAAACAATATACATATCAATTATACCTTAATGTTCTTTCATTTATGCTTGTAATAACTAACAATAATTCTAATAATAATAATAATAATATTAATAATAATAATAATAATGGTTATTATTATTATTATTATATTATTGAAGAAAATAAAGTTTTTTTAATGGAAAAAATTATTGTTTTTTTTCTTTTTTTTTGTTGTTGTTGTCGAAAAAATCTTTTTTTGGCTCCTCTTTTTTCTTTACTTCATTGAGTTTGAATGAATCTAATCTTGTTTAGATGTTATCACTATAGTTACAATGAATACTTTTCAGGTTATTAGTTAGAATAAAGGTAAGTGAGAAGTAGAAGTAGATAAATGTAAATAAATAGGTTGATTTATTTGAGATGATGGAGAAGATTTGTAGTTCAGGTTCATTTATTTATCTAATGATAGTTAATATGAATCTTGATCATAAAAATGCAAGTCATTCAAAGGTTTATTTAGGTCCATTTCTCACTGACTAAATAGTTGTAGATATTTTTTGTTGTGAAATCAAAACAAGGCTGTGAAAAATCCAAAATGTACTGATGTAGATACATCCAGCTGATATGTCCTGAATAAGACGAAATCCGCATCAATCTGGATCCTATTTTTTGCTTATAAAGCTTGCGAATTAAGACTATCCGTACAGGATGCAATAATATCAATAAGAGACTGAACAATTGCAATCCTAAACAACAATTGAATAATTCAAGTAAACGGTTTTATTTTAAAGGATATTTGTCAAAACAATTTAAGATCACAAAAATTACGAGATTGCTGAAGGAAAGCAATAGGATCTCTAACATCTCATATTCAGTATTACGAAACTTTTAGTTTAGTGTTTTGTCGGCTCTAAATAGTCATTTTTTATTGATAAATAAATTCAATTTATTAGTAACGAATCGCCAGGAATTATGATATCCAACAAATAAAAGTCCCAGGGTTGTTTTTTTTTGTGTTATAATTTATAATTTGAAGAATAGTAAGTTTAATGTTGTTAGTTCAATTCCAAACTGTTGTCTAGTTTTTCATACAACGGATTGATATAGATATGTGAAGTGTTATAAGGAACTAATTCCAATGGCTGGTAATTTATTATGAGAAACATTTGAAACAATTGTATTTTACTATAGAATTGACATTATTATACCTGTAATAGTCTATTTTAACATTGAAGCTTATCATTAAGTCAAATGGGTTTTGTGGAGATTGTAGTAATTTCAGTGGTTAAGGTCATGAGTCACCGTTGGATGCCGGCGCAGTGGTCTAGTGGTTAAGTGCTCGCACGCGAAACCAGTAGGTCCTGGGTTCGAATCTCGTGGGGGGGGGCGAGGTCGTGGATGCGCACTGCTGAGGAGTTCCACAATAGGACGAAACGGCCGTCCAGTGCTTCCAGGTTTCCCATGCTTGTCTAGCTTCAACTGACTCGTGGTCTTAACCATTGAAATTATCATTAAGTATTAATATGAATGATAAGATGGACTATTGGAGTTTCCTTTAGATAATATATGTTCCATTCTGTAAATTTGTTCAAAAATAATATATAACAATGGCGAGATCATAAGTTATAGACGAACTAATCAGATAATAGATCTTGGATTTTTACCGCGAAATTAATTCATTTATTTAGTTAAGTAGAGTTTTAGCATTATAACTGATGTCAATTTGTGATGAAAACCCTTAATCTAATCCCTATCCCTAACTATCAACTATAAATCATAATTCTAATTCCTTATACTGGTTTATAATTCTCATTTCGTCATAGTTTGTAGGTAAACACTCTTAATTACAATGAAACTATGATTAACTAATTTGTACAATTCAATTAATGTACTTTCATAATTAAATATACCATTCTATTCAATCAGTTTAGGGGTCATGTCCATATATAGTTTATAGAAGTATTTCAAAATGTCCTTGTTCATATTCATAAAACATGCATTGAGTTAATGATATAAATTAGACAAAATGTATTTTAATTTGTTCATTAATATATAATAACAATAATAATAAGGACAAAACTAAATCTATCAATTTAGTATTAAATTCTATCAGGTATGAATGTTATGCGATTCATTCAAAATTAAGAGATATGGTATTCAAACAGAGAGTTTGGTAGAGATAGCAGTAATTTAGTAGTTGAATTTATGAGCTAGACCATCATGGAAAACGTAGAAGCACTGGATGGCCATTTCGTTCTAGTATATGACTCCTCAGTAGTGTTCATCTATGATTCCGCCCCCGCAAAGACTCGAATATTTATTTGTAAAATATGCAGATGAAACTACTGACACAATTCAACAAATAGTTTTGGATTCAGCTGATAACCGTAGAAATTTCAAGGGACTAGTGAAGAACATTAGGCATTCTAAAACAAAAGTAAAAGACTATGGGGTGTAATAGTCAAACGTTTGAATTGAAATCATTGTAGATTGTTAATATGTTCAAAATGTCATACAGAAATATTGATTTCCAGAATGTTTATAATTGCGTAATACGAAAAGTTTAGATACCATGCTTGTATCTAGGATCCTTTTTTATTAAAACATAACAGCATTAAATGACTATAACTAGTTTGTAATGTTAATTACATTGTCTAAACCATATGATAATTAGAAAGATAACAGTAACTTTATTTAAACGCTTAACAATAATGATTTATCAGCTTTATTGTAAGCCAAGATTTAGTATATTTTTAATTCTACGTGGAGATTTATTCTCTGAGATGGATGGTTTGAAAGAAACCAACTGAGTTGCAAATCTTCTCTATCATCTCATATTTCTAGTAGTTTACTCTAGATATTTTCTTGATCTCATAAGTGACTAGGAGATTACTTCTTTATGACTATGAGGTTTTATGATGAATAAAGATCAAGTCATTGCTAAGTACCTAGATGTTATCTTTCATTTTAAAGATCTAAGTTTTCATTTTCACATTCTACAACAAATATGATATCTATTATCTCGACTGGTAGAATCATATAAACGGCAGATAAGTCAATAGATCATTTTATATTATGAAAGTTGTTTAAGCAGATTTATACTCTTAAATGAATTCGAATGAAGCTCAAATTCTTCTTAAAATTTATTGAATTTTCAAAATGTACCTGATATGCTATCAGTAAAGTACGATTTGATTGATCAATAAACGAAAATGAACAGAACTTCAAGTTTACATATGTGTGACACTATTTAATACGGTAAATTCCTATCTATTATTGATTTCTATTCTGGTTTCATTGTTAACTCTATGAATTGGTTGAATTAAACTAGTGCCTGGCTTAATTTTTGGCTTTCAACTATTGATCGTAAATCGTATATCTGGATCAAATACGATCCATGTATATCAAGCATTATCATATTATATTGTATTTCATAGAGCTACCAATCATTCTCTTACTTATCTAAAAGATTAGAAATACTTTCAAGTTGTTGACCTTATTAAAATCTTTATTCAACATGGGGAGAAATTATTACAAAAAACGAAGTACATTAAAGTGGTTACATATTAACATGTAAAAGGGCTTAGTGGATTACTGAATAAGTCAATTAGCAATACTTTTTATAATATACATTTTACTATAATCACAAACTTATTATTTATTAACACAAAGAGTAAATTTTGATGGATTTTTATTCTCTGAGATGGATGGTTTGGTTGTGGAGCTTTCATCGTTCTTCTGAACGAAATCATCAGCATAAACTTCAGATAGTAGCGTAAATTATTTGTAAGCACTCGTGTTATTGATGATTATAATGATGTTTAGTTTAACATTGGGACGCCAACTATTTAATCCTTAAGTATGAATAAAGCCAGATTACAATAATCTACTCCTGAGTATACACATTCTGTCTTACTGTGAACTGTTTAAAACATTTGTCAGAGTAATGCATGTAGTTATGTTGATATTTTACTCAAGTATCAATAAACGATCTATAAGTCACGTATATACTAAACCTTTTCTGTTAGCCAGTTCTTTCTTTGTTTTCGGATATTGAACATAATCCCCAATATTTATGTGAACCAATTATACTTTACGAAATATTAGTTATGCAATACTAAGTACCTTAAGACACATTCTGGTCTGAGATAGAATAGCTGTAGTAAAAATCATTGTGTGTGTGTATGAAATTAATTAAGAAGAATTTTATAGGACTGTAGCTCTTCTAAGGTTACTATCGATACCAGGACCGGGTAAAGGAGAAGGGTTGGAAATGAGGTCAGCAACATCAGTCACAAAGAAAACAACCTTGCTAAAACAATGCCAACCAGATTAAACAAAATAAACTCTTTAAACTCTGATATCCGAGTTGAACGATCTATATTCGGAATAATGATGATACCTCATGGTGAAAGTTTAGATTCTTCGGAGGTCACGAGGTCGATGCCAATTCTAACAATCACAACAACAATAAACATAGATATGTGGGATGTCCGGACAATATAGGATACCAGGAAGACCAGTCAAATAGGTACAGAAAGTAAGAGATACAACTTGGCAGTACCGAGAATCAGCGAAACGCATTGGAACCAATCTGGAGAAAAAATGATAGTTTCAGAAGGGAAGCTGCTGTACTCTGGTCACGAAGAGGAAACTGCCTTACACACTCAGGATGTCACTCTGATGTTGTTCAAAAAGCACGTAAAGCAATCATAAGATGGGAATCTTATGAATATAGAATCATCAAAGCATTATTGAAAACCAAGATGGTAGGAATCACAATGATTGTTATCCAATGTCAGGCACCAACCAATGATAGCAAAAACGACAGTAAAGATCAGTTCTATGAGAGGCTACAATCAATCGTAGCCAGGTGTTCAGGGAAGGACCTGAACATCCTGATGGCAAACCTAA